GTTAATTTTGCCTCCCAAAAAGCACTAACTCATCCGAAAGTGACTGAGTTCTTAGCAAAGATTTACGGATACTTTTAAAAACTACTTACATCGAAGATAGGCAATGTCGCTGACTGTCCATGAACCTTGACAATCACAGTCTTGTTGCATCCGAAAGAGTCTTGTTTAACAGTTCCACTTGCTTCCAAGCTAAGTATAACATTCATTCTTCTCCTTTAGACTACGAATTTCTTATCGTTGCTGGGCCCTTCTTCAGCTCATAAAAGCATTATCGTGTGTGGTCGTAAGTATGTTGAAACAGGCTTACATTTAGAAGACAGGGGTAATGCGAAAAAGTGAATAGCTGATGAAGCGAGTGATTATTATGCCTCTGAGCCTCTCTAAAAGTCGAGGCAGGATAAAGAGGAAAATTGTTTCGAAAATCGCAGATATCATTATTTCTAGTAAAAAAAATCTTCCTTTCTTCGTGGCAGCAAAAGGAAAGATATTCAAAAATAGGTGGAATATCAAGGAGGACAGTAAAGCCCATCTCAATGAAGCTCTGGATTGGAACTTGGTGAATTGGCAAAGGTTAAGCTGAGCCATTGTTGTATGATTTGCATACAGGCTTTGGTATGGATAGATAAATGCATCAGAAATAGTCAAACAAATAAATCTCAGGCTGACAAACCTAAGCCATGACTGACGTAAGTTGATAACTTTTATTTGAAATTTGAAAATGTGAGTCAGCGTTGATGGTGATAGGAAAAATAGATAGCCCTAGTGTAAGGGTGACGAATTAATATAGAACAAGGTGTTCGGTATTATAAAGAAATGGCTATGTAAAAACACCATACAACCAGGAGAGTAGGGAGATAACTTAATCTAGCTAGTAAGTGAAGTATAAGTAAATGCAGGTGAAGTGTAGAACAGAGATATTTGTATTTCACGATAATGCTCAAAAAGATATGTAGATACCAGAGACTATTGTCAGAAAGGTAAAAAGGCAAGAGACAAAATAAAGCTGGCGAAGGAACAATTGGTCAGCACAAAGAAACCAGCACTTGTGCGAACTTATAGACGAGAAGAACAGTTTTAGCTGATACATCCTCTCTAAAGTGACCGCAACCTGCAACCAATTGCTGTCATCCTGCTGCCATCCCTTGCCGTTAGAGGTCACAAACGCTAGACCAAGCTGAAGTGGCCAACAATCGCCCAGTGATCCGAGGGAAAGCAGACGGCCCGTGGCACCTTCTCGAGGCCTTTTAGTTCAAAGTCTACCGGGTGGGTGGGTTCATCGGGTGCCGATTTGAAATACATCCGATCAAATCGCAAACCACACGCTCGAACCCTGGAAGAGTATCTCTGATTTTTTCTGCCACTGCTCATTGACCCCACTAGACTGGCGGCATTGATGTTGCGCACTGGATCCCAAGTGACGCCAGCTTCGGGCCGCTGTCCTGTCGCCTGCCAGACGTCGGTTACAGAGACGGGTAGGCCACCCAACTTTTCCACCTAGGTTCATAAGGCACGGAAAGACAGATAACAAATGCATAAGATAGAGAGAAAAAAGGAGGGAAAAGTTCAACGATATATATACATATATATATATAGAGAGAGAGAGCCATTCTTAAATAAGATGCATTATGAAGTAAAAAGCGAGGATGTGAAGACCAAGATGTTGTGGCCTCGGGTATGGTCGCAGTCTCCTTTCGACTTATAGAAGTGG